GCGCTTTCGTCGACCGCGCTTTTGTCTACCGCGGTTTTGTGGTGGAACCGCTGAGACCATTGCGCGCGTACGTGTACACACACACACACACACACACACACACACACACACAAACCCTTTATTTCAGATTTGTTATCTTAGTTTACTGAGGTAAATACTGAAAACTGAGGTAAATACTGGCTTAGAATTATCCTTGCTATCTGATTCCAGGCTACACTCTCTTATTCCTGAGGTAATTTGGTTGAAAGTTTGTCTAAACTCATTTAAAACCAAGGTTTTCTGACTTATTTTCTTGGACAGGTAGTCCTCGACTTACCATTCAAAGTTACAACAGCACTGAAGAAAGTGACCGATTACTGTTTTCACACTTATGACATTGCAGCTTCCCCATGGTCACGGGACCAAAATTTAGAAGCTTGGAAACTGGCATGTATTTATAATGGTTGTGGTGTCCCGGGGGTCATGTGATCACATTTTGCAACCTTCTGACAAGCAAAGTCAATGGGGGAAGCAGGATTCACTTAACAACGGTTACTACCTTAACAACTGCAATGATTCATTTAACAGCTGTGGCTAGGAAGGTCGTAAAAGGGGGCAAAACTCATTTAACAACCATCTCGCTTAGCAACAGAAATTTGGTGTCGCTTAGCAATGGAAATTTGGGGCTCAATTTTGGTTGTAAGTTGAGGATTACCTGCAATAGATTACAGCTTTCAAACCAGCAGAGTTCAAAGCAAGAAGAGATTTGCTCTCAACACACCTGAAGGCTGGGGAACCATCAATCTCTGTTAAGTCTTTTCCCAGCTTCAGGGTTCACTTTGGACAACTATTTACTCAACTTTATTACCTAGATGGGGGCAGGATTACTCACTGAGGCTAAGTAGGGCGATGATGTCCCTGAAGCTGGAAGCCCAAAACCAGATGTTGGCTGCAGAGAAAGACCTGAGGAGGATGGTGATGAGGCACTGCCAAGCTGGGGGCTGTGTTTTCTGTGAGCAGAAAGAGATGTCATGGATGAACAGCTGCCAAAAATGTGCTCCATAGAAACAGATGGAACGACCCATGAAGCAGAACAGACATCTAGATTCAGTCACAGCTTTGCTCCATTTGGTTTTAACCTTGTGAACTCTCAAGACTCTTTTTTCCGCTAATGTATTGAAAATGGACTGCAATATTTATTTTTATATACGTATGCTTGTNGGGCTTATTTTAGTGCATGCGCTCAAAAGCCTGATTGGGCTTATTATCTAGGGAGGTCTTATTTTGGGAAAAACGGTAGATTTTTCTTTACCAGTGTGTAAAGTGATGGCACGTCACATAACGGAAACATCTCACCACACTGTTAATAGCCCAAGGATTTCAAAGAAGGAAAAGGAACACAGAGTGTAGAAATCGCAACCGGATGCTTTTAATACAAAACAGAATCCCCTTTATTGACTGTTTTGCATGTCCCCCCCCCCCCCCGAGTCTGTAAACAAAGAAATAACAAAATAAAGTTTAGGGGCATCATCCCCCTCACAAGCAACCTAGAGGCCTGTGTCCTTTCAAATGATGCGCCGGCTTTGCCACTGTCATTCAGGGATGTCGATGACCAGCTCATCGTCACCATCCAGGGGATCTTCGCCGCTTCCCTCCCCTGCGTCGCTAAACATCTGGTGGGGCACCGTGCTGAGGATTGTAGGGGGTGGCAGCTTGGGAGTCCCTCTGGGTGAAGGAAAAGGTAATCCCACCACGACGGAGGAACAGTCCGAGTGAGACGCTGGGGGCAGCGGGAGCTGCAGATGACAAGAAAGAGAGAAAAACTCAGGCGAATGTTGGATCTTGTGGCTTTTTCTTCCTTTTTTCCTCCTCCTCACTTTCTTTCATGGTCCCATGGAGATCTGGCTTTTCACATCATCCTGACCCAAAGGATGCTTTGGTTCTTTGTCCAAATCCAACCACTGGCATTTGATAAGCGTGGTTTATGGCTTAAGCCAGGAGTCTCCAAACTTGACACCTTTAAGACTTGTGGATTTCAGGGAAGCCAGGGAATTCTGGGAGTTGAAGTCCACAAGTCTTAAAGGTGCCATGTTTGGGGACCCCTGGCTTAAACATAGAGTTGAGATATTCACAACCCACAAACTACATAAGATCCACCATATCCCTCAAGAGCATTCCAAGTGCCAACAATTCTCCCACCATTTTTCAACAGCTTTGGGCCTCATGGGCAAAATGGGTGCCTTAGGGCCATATGCTCCAGAAATCTTCCCCAAGAGGCAGAACAGTGATGCGCCCAATAATCTGACCATGTTACTACTAGCAACACCTCTACAGCTCCTGCCTTCGCCCTGAATTCCCTGCCTCACTTTACTCTGTGGGCCACCTAATGCGGATTTGATATACCATATTACACAAACATAGCCTAGTATTTGTCAGCCCAGTCACGAAGATGGAAGGCATGGTAAAAAATTCCATAAATCAATAAGATTATTTTCTCACAACTTAATGCTGAACGTCTTTATCAACCCCAGCCACAGCTCCGCTTTCATCTAGAAACTTTTTATGACTGTAGCCCAAAGCACGAGAATCAAAAAGCAAGTTTCGATGAGTGAATATCTGCTGTAGGCGTGCAGTATTATTCACAGAATGTTTCACAGAAGCCTCAAGCCACGACAGCACCAGGGTTCAAAGTTAATTTGAAGTTTGAAGCATAGATGCATCTTGCTTCTTTTATCATAGCTCTTATTCACTCCACTCAATCAGGGCAATTTCCCTAAGAAATAAAAAGTTTTTCAGTGTTTGTTTGTAAGCTGAAACACATTCGACCTTGCACATTCCTCTAACCCCCGCCCACACAAGTGTGAATGCAGTTGTGAGTTTAATCCAGCATTATAGATTCCACATCCAGCATGCCCTTAAAGCAAGACTGCATTATATATATATATATATATATCCCTCGTCTCCATCAACCCCCACCGCCTTCCTTGAGGTACCTTGAGTGTGTGGGGCCTTGCTGGCCGCCGGGCAGAGCGAGTAGCGTTGCTGTCAGGCTGGGGGGGAACAGGTTCGGGCCCCAGTGCCAAGTAGTCAGAGGGGAAGGGAGCATAAGTGGGTGAATTCAGCTGGGTGGGAAAGGGATGGCGAGAGGGAAGAGATGGAATAAAAAAAAATCAAAATATGAATGATGAGCAGGTGATTCCCCCCAGTTGGAGAGGGTTGAATCAAAACATCTGGAGGACATCAAGCTAAGGAAGGCCAAGTCATTGTCTTCACAGATCTAGTGGCAGTCTAACTGGGCCTCTTCAGATGGCTAACATTCTCATCACGACCACCCAACATGGGTTTTGGGGAAGATGATGAGCATGATAACATTTGGATGGTGTCAAGTTGCAAAAATCTGATGTAACCCATCCTCCTTATTTCACACCCATGAACATTTACCGATATGACACAATTTTTATGGATCATGTACAATGGACAATTTATTGCTGGCCAATGATAAAAGTTATTCATACCACTATTTTCTGGGCCTCATGCTATATAAAGATGCATAAGTGTTATAAATTTTTTCTGCATTTTAATTTTTATATTCCTTATATAGTTATTCGAAGGGTTTCTTTTTTGTTTAGATTATTACAATAATTTTAAGTATCATATTTTCTCTTTTTAATATAAGATGTTCCACTTGAAAAATAATAAATAAAATAAAATAAAGTAAAAAAAATAAAATAAAATAATATTAAAATTAAAAATGAAATAATAAAATAATAAAAATAATTAAATAATTAAAAATAATTAAATAATTAAAAATAATAATAATAAAATAATAAAATAATAAAATAATAAAATAATAAAATAATAAAATAATAAAA